TATATTCAAATAAAATCTGTGCGCACTATACGGCGGGTGCGCATTATCTGAGTAAAAACATAGTTTTGTGGTAAATATAGAAAGCGCACTATACGCCGGGGCGCACTATCTCACGTCAAACAGGGTATTTGTATTCGGGATATAGTAATACATATTTTAGCCATTTTTACAGCAAATACTTCAGTCATTGTGTTTGCGGTGCCGACGATCCGGAAGTCATACGTAATAAACCCGATCCACAGGTGTATGAGGTATGCCTCAAACGGTTCCCAATTCAGCCCAAGAGTTGGGATAATGTGTTGATAATCGAGGACTCAGTTCGTGGTATAAGTGGTGCCGTGAAGTCCGGAATGAAAGCATTGCTCGTCAATGACGGCAAACGGTGTGACTTGACATCCATTGCCGGAAGTGGTGCTCATATTGTCGACTGTTTTGATAACTTTAAACCAGAATCCCTTGGTTTACCCGCTTATGACTAAATGAATGTCAAATTATTTTAGTGATTATTTCCACAAATATATCAGTCATTGTGTTTGTGTGCGACGATCCAGACGTCATACATAATAACCCTGATCAATTTAATATATATAGTGAATAAGATAATTTTTACAAATCACAAATATTAAATATATTATTTAAATAAATATGGCAAAAAATTAGATTTTAATTATAAAGTTAGTAAAAATATAAATACTGTATCATAGACTTAGTACTGTTTTAGTCAAATATTGTGCTTGGTATTGTGCTCATCATTGTTTTAGTTATTAAATAAATGCTACTTTTAATTAAAAAATAATTGTTAAAATTGAATTTTGTAGTCAACCCATTAATTATAATGCAGTATAGTTGTAAACCATAAATTTTAAAATAAACTAATAAATTAAAATTATTTTATATACACAAAATATAAATGTATTAATTATTAAAATTTAGGAATTTATAAACAAACGTGATACAATGAAAAATGAGTGTACAGATTTCTAATATTCATTGATTGTTGTAATTGTGGGAGGGCATTCATTTCTCATTTCTTGTGCCGGCACGTGGCGTTTGCGGGCCAATCGCACTCCTTTTTCTTATCATTCCACTTGAGTCCCGCGGGACAGGGCATCACAATCGGAGTTCCCGATTGGTTACCGGGATTGACAGTACACTGAATGAAGGTACCGCAGTCAGCCGGGTTAGTATAGAGACAGTCTTTTGGTCCCAAACATAGCGTGTTTACAATGTCCTTTCGGGGGCACTGGAAGGGTTGTGGGGCTGGTGTTACCAAATCTGATGCCATTTATTTACAGATATTTTCTAAATTAGCTTTACAATGTCATGCTATGCTCATTATTAGTTAATAAAATATATTTATTAATACTACAATTATCTTTAAAATGTATTGCCTAACTTTTAAATTACCAATTTTAACATTAAATGATCAAGTTCTCAATGTTTAACATGTTTAATAATTTACTCAAATAATATATCGTTTAATCAATAAATATATTATAATGTCCCAAAATGATAATTTTTACAAAATAATTTAATTAATCTTAACACTTACCAATTAATTGTATTGTAATGAATACTAAAACAAATGAAATATACATTTTAGTGGTTTATATGAATTACCAAAAGTAACATGAATTTCAAATCAAAAATAAATAATTTCTGAATTCATCAAATTATGTTGGTTATAATATATGATTTGAATACAAAATAACTTATTGAATAAATTTGGTAACACTGTATATATTTTTACAAACTAATAAAATATCAAACAATGTTTATAATTTATATTTAATATTAATCCTAACTTGTAAATAAATAATATAACTTTACACTGTAGTCAAAAATGATTTACAAAATATTAATAATTGGATTTTTAATGCAATTGTTTGTAACTTTAAAAATTAAGTATTGCAACGTCAATTAGATTTTTACAATAACTAGATCAATTGTATTTTTGTATATTGTATCTCGGTATATTTGTATATTAGTAGCTAATGGACGTGTCCAGCAGATATTGATCCCTCACTTTAATCACTGACTCACACCGTCTGACCCACCACTGAATGCACCGGTAGTACAGCCGGCGTTTTCAGGCCAATCGCACACTTTTAAGCCGTCATTCCAGTGAAGGTATTCCTCAGCGCAGGGCATGTCATACGCCAGTCCATCGACAGTGCATTGTATAAAACGACTGCAATTCTCGGGATTACGGTATAAGCAGTCTTTGGGTCCCTGACAACCAGTATTATCAATGTCCTCCTGAGGACAGGGATACCCGTCAATGATTGGCCAGTCGTTCGCTATTTTACAAAATATTTAATATAATTGTATGAATAATAGAAATGAGTGAACATTTACCCAATGCTTGTGCGACTAACAGCACATACACCACTGTTTTAGTCAAATAACTCATTGTGTGTTTCAATGGATTATCTAATTGTTAGTCAAACTCCGAAATAATGTTTTTATAATTGTTTATATAATTTACATTTCCAATCAAAACTATTTCGTATACCATTTAATATTTTACAATCTATTTGTATATAATACTAAAAATGCAAAATATATTTATTTTTATACACGAATTCAAGGATTCACCAATCAATAGTCAATAGTATGATTAATATTACAATTATTGAATAACGTGTTTGATCAAATTCACGGACAAATATCAATTATAACTTATTTTTGTTAAAAAATTATTTTACTACTGTATTCAAACTTTCTAATATACAGTTAAAGTCACTTAATATAATTACTTACCATATTATGGTATAAAAGCAATACAGTAGCGTTTTAATTTATTACCTGGATGGAACTTATCATTGATATTTTATCAACAATTTCATAATAATGTCTAAACTTATGGCTATCTTAAATATTTAATAATAATTTATTTATTTAATTAATAACTTATACTGTATTAATGATAAATGCATTGAAATAAATAAAACATTTTTAATACTAATTTGGAATTTTATTTATTGAATCAAAAAATGAATGAAAATTGAGTCAAAGTACAGAAAATAAAGGGAAAGTCATAGCAATTGGAAAGAAATTTAAGTCAAATACTAATTGAGTGATTAATTGAATAGTAGTGACCACCCGTTCCTACAGGAAATACGCCCTAAATAATAATGTTATGATTATATAGTATATGAGGGGAACGGGCGGTGGGGTGTCCACAAGAGGTGTATCCACCACACGATATACTGGTGCTCACTCCAAACCACAGGTCGAGTATCCACTTAATGCCGGTCCCGCGATACGGAACGGGAGGGCGGAGTGCGGGGCCGACTCCGGGAGTCCGAACGGCTTCTACTGCGGCTCACCGACCGACTGGTGGACCGTCCGTAACGGCGTTTCGGTGTTCGCGAACTAATACACAGTTTTTTGTAAAACATTTTTGTTTCGATGGGAGAGAAAAATGTGGAGAAAACATACCATTAATGTCAACATTACGTACGGAAAAAGTCAATACAATTAATGAGTGAATAAAATATATAAATATGTAATTTGAATGAAACGGTGAGTGAGTGCGCCGTTGGCTGCAATGGTAACCGATGGCTGAGTATTGTGTGTTTGTGTCATATATACTAATCTGAGAGATATTAGTGTTCATTGAAGGCTGCGAAGTGTGTTTGTACTGAAGATCTTAGGCTCCGATACGGAGAAACGATAGGCATAAGTGCTAATATAGTATTATGCGAAGGACTGGACGGTAATCGAAGGCCTAACCGACTGTCTCAGTGAGTGTGTGAGCGACGGGCGATGGATAGGGAGGTCTGGAAAACATAATTATCATTGTCTCTACAGTTTATATGTGTATATACTCTGCGAGTGTGTCACTGAGAGCGACGATTGGATACGTAGGACAGGAGTGACTGTCTGTGTGGTTGTCGTCGGCGACGACTTTACAGTTGAGGTTTAAAATTGAAGACAAAAATATGTGGAAAAAATGAAATTAAAATTAATGTTTTCACCAATTTTTGCAAAAATACAAACAAAACAAACGTTAATTCAAAACAAATGCTTTTATACAACAATTTTCAAGTACTCATAGCTTTTCGGTCGGCGCTCGACGTGTTTTGCAGTTATAGTCGATGTGTAGGCGCCCGATGAGGCCGTCGGACGGCGTTCACACCTTCCGCTTTATAGGGAACGGTATGTCTCACTCGAGATACGCTATTTAGCTAATGGTTTGGGTCTGTGTTTAG